CCCATGGCAGGGGGTGGAATGAGATGAGCTTTAAGGTCCCTTCCAACCCAAACCAGGGCTGGAATTCCATGACCTCCAAGGTCCCATCCAGCACAAATCAAGGCTGGAATTCCATGACTTCCCAGGTCCCTTCCAACCCCAAACCAGGGCTGGAATTCCATGACCTTCAAAGTCCCATCCAGCCCAAACCACAGTTGGAATTCCATGATGACCTTCAAGGTTTTATCCAGCCCAAACCAGGGCTGGAATTCCATGACTTCCCAGGTACCATCCAGCCCAAACCAGAGTTGGAATTCAATGATGACCCTCAAGGTCCCCTTCCAGTCCAAACCAGGCCTGGAATTCCGTGATGACCTTCAAGGTTTTATCCAGCCCAAACCAGGGCTGGAATTCCATGCCTTCCAAGGTCCCATCCAGCCCAAACCAGGGCTGGAACTCCATGCCTTCCAAGGTCCCATCCCACCCCACCCCTCTCCCCGACTCCACGACTGCACCGTTAGAAAGAAGAGAACATTTAATATTTTCCATTCAGAGATACAAGTCAAGAATCCTGGGTCATCTTTTTTTTTTTTTTCTGGGTTTTTTTTTATGTTTTCCCCTAAAAACCAGGAAAAACCATTACCAAAAAAAAAAAAAACAAACAACCCAAAACAAAACAAAACAAAACAAACAAAAAAAGAGATGTAGCAAGTTGTCCCAGCTGACAGAACACGTCCGGATCCACCTGAGCGGGAGCTGGGATGAGACCCCGGTCCCAGCGGGGAGGGGGCAGTGGGAAGGGCCCCCAGGATTCCAGAGGATTCCAGAGGATTCCAGAGGATTCCAGGCTTCCCTCGGGCTCCCAAGAGAGGGGGGGAGCTGCCCTGTGCCCCCCCTCTGGGGCTGGGGTGGGACAGACGCGGATCCCATGGATGAGGGGTGTGGGATGGGCAGCACAGCCCCAGAGCTGGGCTGAGACCAAGGGATGGGCAAGAACCCACTGGGCTGGGAAGGGAAATGGTGGATTTGAGGAGAGAGGGGGTCCCATCCCACCCCCCCAGCCCGGGGCAGGAGAAGGGACAGTGAGATGAACCAGCCCTGTCCCCCCAAAGCCAGGGCACAGGGGGGCATTGACCCCACAGGGAGGGTCACTGGGGGCACAGGGGGGCATTGATCCCCCAAAAAGGGTCAGTGGGGGCACAGGGTTGTGTGTGGCCCCGCAAAAAGGGTCACTGACGGGCACAGGGGGATGCTACTGATCCCCCAAAGGGGGTCACTCGGGGGCAACAGGGGCATTGATCCTCCAAAAAGGTCACGTGGGGCACAGGAAGGCACTAGGGGTGCATTGCCCCCCTCTCAAGGAGGGTCACTGGGGGCACAGGGGTGTGTTGCCCGCCCTGAAAAAGGGTCACGTTGAGGCCCAGGGGGCATTGATCCCAGAGAGGTCACTGGGGCAGCAGGGGGCGTTGCCCCAAAAGGGTCATTGGGGGCACAGGGGTGTGTTGCCCCCCCAAATAGGGTCATTAGGGGCACAGGGGTGTGTTGCCCCCCCAAATAGGGTCACTGGGGGCACAGGGGTGTGTTGCCCCCCCCAAGAAGGTCATTGGGGTCATGGGGTGCTTTGTCCCCCAAAAAAGGTCATTGGGGGCACAGGGGAGTGTTGGGCCCCCAAAAAGGGTCATTGGGGGCACAGGGGTGTGTTGGGCCCCCAAAGAGGGTCAGAGGGGGCACAGGGATGGGGGCACAGGGGTGTGTTGCCCACCAGGGAGGGTCACTGTGGGCAGGGCTGGGGGCACAGGAAAGGCACGTGAGGCCCAGGGGAGCTCCATCCATGGGGTGCTGAGGGATCCCTGGGAATGGGCAGGGAGGGACCTGCAGAGCCCTGGGGAGAGGAGCCCCAACCTACACCCTGCTCTGCCCTGCCCTGGGCACACCACGGGCTGTGCCCCAATTCCTGCCCCCCAAATCACCCCCCAGCTACAATTTGAGACAGTTTGGGGCAGGAAAAACCTGAGGTCCAAAAAAACCCCAACCCCAAATCCTGGATGGGAGGAACAGCTTCTCCCTCTGGAGTGGGGCTGTGCAGGGAGGGGGGGGTTGGAGCAGGCAGGGACATCCCTGCTGTCCCTGCAGGGTGGGCAGGGGGGGATCAGAGCCCCAGGGATGGCCCAGAGCCCCTGGAATGGCTCAGAACCTCAGGAAGGGCTCAGCATCCCTGGAAGGGCTCAGAACTTCAGGGATGGCTCAGGGCCCCAGGAAGGGCTCAGCATCCCTGGAAGGGCTCAGAGCCCCAGGAATGGCTCAACATCCCTGGAATACCTCAGCATTCCTGGAATGGCTCAGAGCCCCTGGAAAGGCTCAACATCCCTGCAATAGCTCAGAGCCCCAAGAAGGGCTCAGCATCCCTGGAATGGCTCAGAGCCCCAGGAAGGGCTCAGCCCCCCAGGCTGGGCTCAGCCCCTGCCCTGCAGGGCTGGCTTAGTGTTTGCTGGGGGTTGTAGTGTTGCTGTGCCAGAGCTTCCCCTCCCCTGATCCCCTGGGATCGCCCTGCAGGGATGGGATCCATGGGGAGAGGGGGGTAGTGTTCCTTCAGTGGCTTTGGGGGTCTTGCCCCTCGGGGGGGTGGGAGGTGGGGGCTGCTTTGCCTCTGTGCATCCCAGGACACATCCCTGCATTCCCAGGACACATCCCTGCATCCCAGGACACCTCTCTGCTATCCCACTGGGCTGTGCATTCCCAGGACTCATCCCTGCTCTCCCACTGGGCTGTGCATCCTGGGACACATCCCTGCATTCCCAGGACACATCCCTGTATCCCAGGACACATCCCTGCTCTCCCAGGACATATCCCTGCTCTCCCACTGGGCTGTGCATTCCCAGGACGCATCCCTGCATTCCCAGGACACATCCTTCCATTCCCAGGACACTTCCCTGCTCTCCCACTGGGCTGTGCATTCCCAGGACTCATCCCTGCTCTCCCAGTACACATCCCTGCATTCCCAGGACACATCCCTGCTCTCCTATAGGGCTGTGCATTCCCAGGACTCATCCCTGCTCTCCCACTGGGCTGTGCATCCTGGGACACACCCCTGCATTCCCAGGACACATTCCTGCATCCCAGGACACATTCCTGCTCTCCCAGGACATATCCCTGCTCTCCTACAGGGCTGTGCATTCCCAGGACACCTCCCTGCTCTCCCACCTGGCTCATCCAGGTGCTGGACCCGAAGGAAAGACGAAAAAAACCCCAAAAAACCTGGAGAAGGGAGAGAGGCCCGTGCCGGGGTGTGTGTGTGTGTGTGGGGGGAGAGAGGACGAGCAAAGTACCGAAGTTCAAGCACCAGGAGGACAAAAAAAAAAACCCCGAAAAACACAGAAAACAAAACAAAAAAACCAAAACCCCCAAATTCCCGAGGGGGGGAAGGGAAGGGGCCGAGGGGGACCCTTCTGGTTGTTCCCTGGCGGTGGCTGGAATGGCGGGAAAGGCGGGAATGGCGGGGGGGGCTCACTGAGGTAGCGGCACCAGCACTTCCACGTAGTTGAGCGGGAAGAAGCCGGAGTGGCCGTGGATCATCCCCTCGTACCAGTTCTCGTCGATCTGGTTCGTCAGGGTGATGATGTCGCCCTCCTTGAAGCCCAGCTCGCCGTCGTTCTCCGGCTCGAAGTCGTACAGGGCTTTGCAGCAGGGCTGGTCCAGGGGGGCTGCGGGCACAGGGTGGGGCACAGGGGTCAGCAGGACCCCCAAACCCTCCTCTTTGGCACCCAGCACTCCTAAATGTGTTGGATTTCCCAGCCTGTCCCAATGGAGGTTGTTGTAATGAGGGGAAGCTTTGTTATTAAGCGCTGGGATATCCTGGTTTTTAGCTCTTGCTTGGATGGAAAACTCCCAATTCCAGCCTTGTTTTAGGGGCTGTGGGCACAGGAGGGGCACAGGGGTCAGCAGGACCCCCAAACCCTCCTCTTTGGCACCCAACACTCCTAAATGTGTTGGATTTCCCAGCCTGTCCCAATGGGCAGCGTTGTTATTAAGGCACCCTTTGGATATCCTGGGTTTTAGCTCTTGCTCGGATGGAAAACTCCAAATACAGCCTTGGTTTAGGGGCTGTGGGCACAGGGGTCAGCAGGACCCCCAACCCTCCTCTTTGGCACCCAGCACTCCTAAATGTGTTGGATTTCCCAGCCTGTCCCAATGGAGGTTGTTGTAACGAGGGTTGTTTTGTTATTAAGTGCTGGGAACAAGAGCTTTGAGCTCTTGCTTTGATGGAAAACTCCAATTCCAGCCTTGTTTTAGGGGCTGTGGGCACAGGGGGGGGCACAGGGGTCAGCAGGACCCCCAACCCCTCCTCTTTGGCATTTTAAACAGGTTGGATTTCCCAGCCTGTCCCAGTGGAGGTTGTTGTAACGAGGGTGGTTTTGTTATTAAGGCATCCTTTGGATATCCTGGATTTGAGCTCCTGCTTGGATGGAAAACCACAAGGGACAGGTTGGATGAGACTTGGAGCAACCTGGTCTGGTGGAAGGTGGGTGGAACTGGGTGGTCTTGAAGCTCCCTTCAACCCAAATCATTCCATGATTCCATGATTCCACAGCCAGGAACTACCCAGCTTGGCAAGAGCCCCTCCAGGCACCGAAAGCAGCAGCCAAGACAACTTCCCAAATCCCCAAATCCCCAAATCCCTGCTCCAGGCTCCTCCTGCTCCACCACCACGAGCCTTTCCCGCCACCACAGCTCCAAGCTGGGATCCCAAAGGGCCCCGAGATCCCGAAGGGATCCCAAAGCAGGACCCACAAACTCCACTGTGCTGAGGCTCTGCCTGCTCCCTCCAGCCTTCCCGGGAAAAAACCCAGGCTGGGTGCTTGGAAAAACCCTGGAGAGGTCTGATCCCTCCTGGAAAAGCATCGGGATGGGACGGGAGCTGCTCCAGCCCCGCCGGGTGAGCCGGTTTTGGGGTGGGAAAATCCCACTGGAGCGTGGCTGGGTTAGTTCAGGGTTTAGGTCAGGCTTAGCTCAGGCTCAGCACGGAGGGATGAGCAGCTCCAAGCTGGGAAGAGGAGGAGGAAGCAGTGGAGGCCTAGGAAAAGGAGGAGTGAGGAGGAGAGGTAGTGGAGGAGGAGGAGGAGGAGGAGGAGGAGGAGGGATGGGAGAATTCCCACGTCATGCAGCGCAGAGCAGGAAACTCACGGATACTCCTGACGGAGGCCCGGGAAGGTTTGTCCGACCGGAAAGAGGAGGAAGCTGCTTCCAAACAAAAAAGAGACATGCTTAAAAACCATGGGAATGGGGACAGGGAAAAGGCAGGGAAGGGTTGTTAGGAGAAAGGAGAAATGGGGGGGGGGGGACATGCTGTTAGAGACCCCCCGGGAGGGAGGGAAGGAGGGAAGGAGGGAGGGATGCAGCGGGATGGAAGAGGGGAGGGAGGGAGAGATCCTTGGTTTTTCCTGCTTGGCACTGAGTGGGCACTTCCCAGGCTGGAGAAACCTCTGGAACATCCCCAGAGCCAACACGACAAAGGCTGTCCTGCCCCGAGAGCCCCCAGCCCGATCCAGAGGCATTCCTGACGTTTTCCAGGGCCACATCCAGAGCCATCCTTCCCGGGCAAACAGAGCAGCTCCAGGGGCACAGGGGGAGGAGGGCACAGCCCTGGCACAGCCTCACCTGAGACTTTGGGGGTGGGGTTGCAGGAGAAGCCCCCGTTGGACTGGTCGCTCTCTCCGAAGTCGTAGCTCTCCCTGGGCTTGGGCTTGTATTCCCGCCTGGGGCGGGAGGAGGCCTCCCTCATCCTGGGAGAAGGGAAAGAAGGGGGGACAAACTGAAATAAGGGATGGGATGCAATGGGATCGATGTGTTTTTCCTCCTCCTGGCTCGGGTTTTTGTGGAGAAGGATCTGCTTGACTCCCCGTGCCGGAGCCTTTGGAAGGCGGGTCTTCCCACCCTGGGAGGGAAGGGAATTCCGGGCTTTGCCGTGCAATGTTTGGGAATTCAGGCCAGCAGAGGACACTCGTGCTGTAGTTTGGAAGCTGAGGCTTGGCAGGATCCTGCTCCCAGCTCCTCCTCATTCCAAGTAGACACTTGGGATCCACTGGGATCCACCCATGGGATCCACTGGGCAGCTTCTCCAGGAGGAGGGAGTGGATCCAGCCCTGCAGGGAATCCACCCCTCCTTCCCCAGCCCCACTTTGGGGACGTGGTGGCTCAGATGACCCGGGGGAGTTGTGCAAACCAGCTCATTCCCTGTTCCAACTGCTCCCCTGTGGATTCTGGCAGCTGCTGGAGGGCAGGAATCCCGGGAGGGCAGGAATCCCGGGAGGGTGGGAATCCCAGAAGGGCAGGGCAAGACCAGGCAGCTCCAGGGGTGTTCCCACCTGCCTCCCAGCACCAGCTCACAGGGCTCAGAAGCCCAGAGATGGGGTGGCATGGAGGGAATTCCAACCCTTTTCCATCCCTGCCAAGCTCAAATCCAGCCTCGCTGGGAGCAGCGCCTGGAGAAGGTCTGGATTGAAACTCCAGAAGTGGCTTTGACACCCAGGAACAGATTCCCTGGGAGGGTGGGGAGGGCTGGGATGGAATTCCCAGAGAAGTTGTGGCTGCCCCAGCCCTGGGAGTGCCCAAGGGCCCCTTCCAGGGCCTGAAGGGGTTACAGGAGAGCTAGAGAAGGATGTGGGACAAGGGATGGAGGGACAGGACACAGGGAATGGCTTCAAAGTGAAAGAGGGGAAATTTAGATGGGATATTGGGAAGGAATTCCAGGCTATGAGGGTGGGGAGGGGCTGGGATGGAATTCCCAGGGAAGCTGTGGCTGCCCCATCCCAGGAAGTGTCCAAGGCCAGGTTGGAGAAGGGAAGGATCCAGGGAGACCTGAGAGCCCCTTCCAGGGCCTAAAGGGGCTCCAGGAGAGCTGGAGAGGGACTTGGGACGAGGGATGGAGGGACAGGACACAGGGAATGGCTTCACACTGAAAGAGGGGAAATTTAGATGGGATTTTGGGAAGGAATTCCTGGCTGGGAGGTTGGTGAGGGACTGGAATGGAATTCCCAGAGAAGCTGTGGCTGCCCCATCCCTGGGAGTGTCCCAGGCCAGGTTGGAGCACCCTGGGATGGTGGGAGGTGTCCCATGGCAGGGGGTGGAACTCCACGACCCTCACGGCCCCTTCCAACCGCCCCCGTTCCGGGATCCTGTGATTCCCAGGGAGTCTCCTGTGTCCCCAGACAGGCAGGGGGGCAGGCTGGGGGTGCCCCTGGGACTCACCTGCGCTTGAGTTTCTCGGCCAGCTCGTCCAGGATCTGCACGGCCTGGCGGTGATAGTCCAGCTGGGCGTCCACCAGCGCCGAGAGCTGGCTCACCTGCTCGATCTGCGGGGACACCGGGGGGGAATGGCTGTGCCCCCTGGCACAGGAGGCACAGCACACCCCACACTGCCCCCAGGGCACGGGAGAGACAGGGTATGAGGAGAAGGTTTGGGATTTGGGGCACCGGAGGGGAGGAACCGGCTGAGGCTCGGCAGGGTTTGGGACGCTCCTGTCACTGCAGGAATTGGGATGCTCCTGTCACTGCAGGGTTTGGGACACTCTGGACACTGTAGGATTTCGGACACTGGCCACTGCAGGGTTTGGGACACTCCTGTCACTGCAGGATTTGGGATGCTCCTGTCACTGCAGGACTTGGGATGCTCCTGTCACTGCAGGGTTTGGGACACTCTGGACACTGCAGGAATTGGGACACTCCTGTCACTGCAGGGTTTGGGACACTCTGGACACCAGGATCTGGGACACTCCTGTCACTGCAGGAATTGGGACACTTCTGTCACTGCAGGATTAGGGACACTCCTGTCACTGCAGGGTTTGGGACACTCTGGACACTGCAGGGTTTGGGACACCCCTGTCACTGCAGGATTTGGGACACTGGACACTGCAGGGCTTGGGACACTCTGGACACTGCAGGGTTTGGGACACTCCTGTCACTGCAGGACACTCCTGTCACTGCAGGGCTTGCCTGCTGTGAAATCCTGCCCAAACTCATCCCACTATGGAGAGGAGACTCCATCCAGTGAGATTCCTCCTTGGGAATTGGAGCTGACTCTCTCCACTGAGAGGAGACTCCTTGGGAATCAGAACTGACTCCTTCCATGGAAAGGAGACTCCCTCCTCTGAGATTCCTCTCTGGGAATAAGAACTGACACCCTCCACCCAGAGGAGACTCCATCTACTGAGACTCCTCCTTGGGAATCAGAACTGATCCCTCCATGGAAAGGAGATTCCCTCCTCTGAGATTCCTTCTTGGGAATCAGAACTGACTCCCTCCACTCTGACAGGAGGCTCCCTCCACTGGGGTTTCTCTTAGGGAATCAGAACTGATCCCTCCACTGAGGTTCCTCCTTGGGAATCAGAGCTGATCCCTCCACCCAGAGCAGACCTGCCTGGTGGCAGCCCCAGCCTCTCCCCTGCTGCTCCAGGAGCTGGCTCAGGACCAGGGGCTCCCCAAGGCCGGAGCAGCTCCGTCCTGGTCACTCAGCTCCGGGTTCACACGGAGCCAAACCCCCCAGGAGCACCAACGAGTGTCCAGCTGGGGCCATCCCGGCGGGATCCCACCCCAGGGACACGGAGCCCCTCTCACATCAGTCTCCAGCAGGTTGTGCATGCTGGTCTCTGCCACCTCCTTGGACTCCTCAAACTTCTCCATGGCCTGTCGGAGCTCCTCGTCCGGGATCTTCCCCTGGCGCTTCTTCTTGTAGTCGAAGTCCAGGCGCCGCCCTTCCAGCTTCTTCAGGTGGTGCTGGGGGTGGGATGGCATGGCATGGCATGAGCAGGGAAGCAGCAGGAGCTGGGAGCAGCCAGCATCTCCTGGGAGCAGCTCAGCTCTGTTTCCAGGCTGAGCTCCTGGTGCCTCCAAACCCTGATCCTGGAGCGCCTGCTCCTGGTGCTCCCGTGGAATGGGGGAATGATTCCAGCCCCTTCCCACTGAGGGAAACACCCCAGGCCGTGCCCCACATTGGGGAAGGTGAAAAACTGTCCTGCTGGGGATGGGAGGGATGAGCAGGGAAGCAGGAGGAGCTGGGAGCAGCCAGGCTCTCCTGGGAGCAGCTCCAGGCTGAGCTCCTTTGCCTCCAAACCCCGATCCCAGAGTGCGCTCCCACCTCCGCTCCAGAGGGTGATGGGGGAATGATTCCAGCCCCTTCCCACTGAGGGAAACACCCCAGGCTGTGCCCCACATTTGGGAAGGTGAAGAGCTGTCCTGCTGCTTCCAGCTCCTCAGGAGCTCCAGGGATCTCTGGAGATCAGGAATGTGGGCTCTGAGCGTTGCATTCCCAGGCTCTGAGGGCAGGGATGTTTTATCCTGATGGAATTGGGGGATGGAGCAGCACTGAGTTGGGGGTTATGTTACCTGGGGTACCACTGGGAGTGAAAATTCACTCAAGAGAGCTGCCTTGGGAATGAGGGGTTGGGACAGATCCCATTCCAGAGCCTGGCTGTGCTTTGCATGGATCTGCACTCCGGAGTTCTGTGTCCCCCTGTGAGGCACCAAAGGGCTTTCCCGGGATGCTGAGGCCTGGAGGGGGGGATTGCTCAGGGCTTGAAGCCCAAACTGGGAGCTCCCAGCACAAGGAACTGGATTCAGCAAGGCCAGAAGGTGTTTTGGGATGTTTTGGGAACCATTCCAAGCTGCATCCAGCCTGCTCAGGAGCAGCAGGAGGGAGAAAACACCCAGTGCAGGGAATTCCTGCCAGCCCTTGGATCCCACCTTGGAAAGCAGAGAGAGCAGGAGGAGGAGGAGGAAAAATCCCCCCCTGGAGGTGGGATTTACCTGGATCTCCTTCAGGTCTTTGTCACAGAGGTTCTGCAGGGGATCAATAAAGTTCTGTTTGACCTCGATGTCCAGGGAATCCTTCACCTCAGCCAGGCGCTTCATGGACTCACCCGCGTCCAGCAGAGCGTCGCCTGCCCGGGAAAACAGGGAGACAGGGAAAACAGGGAGAGGGAAAACAGGGAGGGAGGGAAAACAGGGAGGGAGGGAGAGGAAGGAGGGGAGAGAGAAGAAGGAGAGAAGGGAGAGGAAGGAGGGGAGGTTGAGGAGGGAGGGAAGGGAGAAGGAGGGAAGGGAGATGAGGGAGGGAAGGGCGAGGAAGGAGGGAGGGAGAAGAAGTAGGGATGGGAGAGGAAGGAAGGAAGGGAGAAGAAGGAGGGAAGGGAGAAGAGGGAGGGATGGGAGAGGAAGGAGAGAGGAAGGAGAGAAGGGAGAGGAGAGAGAGGAGGGAGAGGAAGAAGGAATGGGAGAGGAAGGAGAGAAGAGAGAGGAGGGAGGGGAGGGCGAGGAAGGAGGGAGGGAGAAGAAGTAGGGATCGGAGAGGAAGGAAGGAAGGGAGAAGAAGGAAGGAGGTAGAGGAAGGAGGGAAGGGAGAGGATGGAGGAAAGGGAGAGGAAGGAGGGATGGGAGAGGAAGGAAGGAGGGAGAGGCAGGAGGGGAGGGAGAGGAAGGAGGGGAGAGGAAGGAGGGGAGAGGAAGGAGGGGATGGAGAGGAAGGAAGGAGGGAGAGGAAGGAGTTAAGCAGAGCCCAAAAGCAGGGGCTGCACCAAGAGCCTTTGTGTGTGTGGGAATCACAATCCCAGCCTGGTCTGGGTTGGAAAGGACCTCCAGTCCTTTCCCCTCCAGTCCCCGGGGCAGGGACACCCCCTACACCTCCCACACCTCCCACCAGCCCAGAGAGCTCCAAACCCCTTCCAGCCAACTCTGCCCCCCTCCAACCTCCCACATTCCCTCTGGAATTCCCAACCCCCCAGCCTGGCACGGGGCTGGATCCACAGGGGGACACTTCCCTGCCTCTGAAAAGCTGGAACAGCCTCTCCCAGCCCTGCAGATGCAGGGAGGGTTCTCCAAAAGCAGGATTTGGAGCTGCTGAGCTGCTCACTGGCCGCTCTGCTCTTGGCCAGGAGAGCCTTGGGCTGATCCAGCTTTTTTTTCCTGGCCATGGGAAGCCCTGGAGTTGCTCTGACCAACTTTTTTTTTTCAGCTGCTGGCAGCAAACCCTGCAGCCTCTCAACCAACCTGAGCCCTTCTCCTCCCCTCTGAGCCACAATCCCACTTTTTTTGGGGTTTTTTTTTGAGGAATTCATTTATTCCTTTTGGATTCTCCCAAGGACCATTTTTAGTTTAACTTCGAGTTCCGAGCTCTGCAGCCAAGGAAAAAGCTGGACAAACATACAGTTAAGAGAGAATCTTCTCTTGCCCAGGCCCAGAAACCAGCAGATTTCACACTAAACATTCCACAAAATTAAGATATGTGGAAGGAAACACAGCCACAGCCAGTGTAATACAGGATGATCTCGGAGGTCCCTTCCAACCCAGCTGATTCTGTGATTCTCCAGAATCCTTTGGCATTCCCAAGAAAACAGCCAGAGGTTTTTAATTCTCCCCCATCCCAGGCAGCTCCTCCCCGAGCTGGGAGCAGCAGCTGGGATGTCTGAGGGGATTAGAACTGAGGTCACTCCCCCTCCTCCTCCTCCCCTCCCAGGCACACGTGGCCACGGAAAAGAGCCACAGGGAAAGATTCCTTGGCTCCAGCCCCTGGGAGGAGTCACGGGATGGTTTGGAATGGGTTGGAATGGCTTGGAAGGGATCCCGAAAAAATCCCGCTGGGATCTGTTCCCACGTCGTTGTTCAGGTTAGAAAGGGGTGGGTTTGTGGTTTTTTGGGGTTTTTTTAACATCCAAATTCATCTCAGGGTTTAATAAGAAAGGACTAAGAGGTGGTTTTGCCACGGATTGGGATCCAGGATACCTGGGATTGGAGAATAATAGAATGGGTTGGGTTGGAAGGGGCCTTAAAGCCCGTCCAGTTCCACCCCCTGCCATGGGCAGGGACACCTCCCACCAGCCCAGGGTGCTCCAAC